GGGGAGTGTGGGGCGGCAGAGAGGGGGGGGCCCCGCCAGCAACCCCCCCAGCTTTCAGGGCTAGAGAAAGGTCACAGCATCAGTAAGACCTCCCCACCACCACCACTTTTTCCCACTGCCGGGTCAGAGCCACGCACCCCACCGCGTCCCGAGGGACCCCTGCCTGACCCTGAGCCACAGCCACCCCGCCGGAGCACAGCAGAGTGGCTCTCCCCACACTGAGGTCAAAACCCGACTGAGCATCCCAATCCCGGCTGAGGTCTCGGGAGGGGGAAGCAGCGCACGGGATCTCGCTGGTCTCTGGGGCATGTGGTGGGCTCAGCACAGTGGAGGGGGGTCACGCTGCCACTGGGTACCAGCAGTGCTGTCAGGTCCCTGGGGAGCACTGGAGACCATCATGCCATTGCTGTGGTCTTGCTGCTTTGACCCCCTTCACTCGTACAGGCAGACACAAGCCCAGGGCTGGGGACATCCCACATTATGTCCCGGGAGGACAACTCCTGGTCTGTACTTGCCAGCTCCTGCCGTGCCCTGGCAGATGTCAGAGGCCGGGCTGCCCTCTCCCCTCGCCGTGGGTGCCTCCAGCATGGGGAGTCCACAGGCAGCCAAAACGGGCAGCCAGCCACACATAGAGTCCCCCAACTCACCAGCCACGCTCAAACCCAGAGCTCACAGCCCACCCCCGACAGTGACAGTGACCCAGACACGTGCACACCTGAACCCAAAACCACTCCATCCCTCCATCCCACCTTGGCTGGAGCAGGGTGCCAATGGGGGCTCACCAGGCTCCTTCGGGTGCTGCTGGCGTTTCCCTGCTCGTGTCACCCACCGCCACTTTCAAGCTCTTTATATTCCTCAGTTGGCCCCAGGATTTTGCCTGCATTTTGATGCCCCCCCTGAAGGTTACCCTGCCCAGACCCACTTGCTGACCCTCCAGCCCCACAGCAGCAAAGACCCGGCCACCACTTGCTCCTGGAAGAAGGGGCCTGCGGGGGCTGAGAGCAGCACTGTGACTGCGCAGCCACATGGTGTTCTCGCCATTGCCGTCCCCTGGGCCCTCCATCAGTGGGACAGGCACAGAAGCTGGAGCTGAACAGCTCTGCATACCCATTCTCAGCCTGGAGGAAAGCTCAGCTCCATCAGGCCTTGCGCATACCACAGATGATCCAACCATCCATGCTCCACGCAATGATGCTAAAAATCTCACACAGATGCCTGGTCTGGAGGAGATGACCAAACCCACCTGGTCCAGAGGGGTGCCCCAGCAGCCCAAGGGCTCCGCCACGCTCCATCCTCAGGCTGGACTGACCTGAGAGCATGGCTTCCCCCTGCGACCATGCAGCTTCACCCACCAGCTGCCTCCGGTGGGTGGAAATCCATGCTCCCCTCTTAACAACATTAGTGGTTGTATTTTTAATCTTCTAGTTTCTCGTTGGGTAAGGGGTTTTGTAACAACTTTGTTTCTAGTCCCTCTAAGTGTAATTCTTTGATCTGCTCACCTGCCGAAATCAGCGCGAGGCTGTTGCTGTCTGGCGCCCTAACAGTGCGAAACAGGGATTCCCTTAATCTTCCCCATCCCCTCAGTGTCAGCTTTTGCTTACTTTCCTGCTAGTGCTTCTGGATGCAGATAGCAAAAACCGATATATTACGCTTGAACTCAAGGAGTAAAGGAAATTGCAGGAAGTGAGTGAGCATGAGCCATTTTCTGTTATTAATTCATATGGCATTCCCGTGCTGACCCAGCTACACGGTGTTATTACGCTGCTATTCCATGAGTTAGGCAACAGCTCTATTTAAAAATAATCATAAATGATATCAGGCATCTTTTCTGCTGAATAAGAGTGTGTTTGTGCCA